CCATAGCTTAGTACAAGTTAGTAGAAGTTATATTGACTGCTTTTGATATTGGTTATAATTTTAAATTTGTCACAATTGTGATATAAGATATCAGATATAATGCAAATTGATTATTTAGATTTGTTTGTGAAAAAAGAAGCATGTGTGCAATGGTTAGAAGAAGAAGCATGTGTGCCATGGTTAGAAGATAACTTAGGGTATTGGACTTTGTCTTTCTACCAAGTGGCTTCCAGAGACTGAACTATGTTTATTAGGCTTAGTGACAAGTGCTTTTCCCTGCTGAGTCATCTTACCAGCCCATAAATTAAAATTTAAGTATTTTTAGTCATTAAAGGCAAATTAATGATAAAATGCATAATAAGTATCAGATTTTTATAAAGACATTTTATAGAAATAGTAATTTAATAACTTTAATATCTGAGTGTTCCCTATATCTCGAAAGAAATGTAACCACCTATAATCAGAGATGTTAGATTGTTACAGATTCCAAAAGTGAAGTAAGACTAAAGCATTGTCAGAAATTCGAGCACATCCTCCCCCTTTAAAGCCATTTTACTTTTCAGTAAGTTTTGGCATCACTGTCCATGTTTACACTTTAGTGCTCTAGACTACTATGGATATAGGCTCCTCAAAGTCAAGGTGCTAGAATTTTCATCAGTAAATGAGTCATCTACATCATTCCTGTTTCTTCTCAACATTCTTTTTTTTATAAATTTTTTTCCTTTTTAAATTTATTTAACTTACTTATTTTATGTGCATTAGTGTGAAGGTGCACATTAGTCCCATCTCTTGGAACTGGAGTTACAGAAAGTAGTGAGCTGCTATGTGGATTCTAGGAATCTGGTCCTCTAGAAGAGCAGACAGTGCTCATAACCACTGAGCCATCTCCCCAGCCCACTCCTCTTTCTTCTCAAAGTTTTGAAAAGTTTAATTGTCTCACTTTTTTTGTTTTTATTTTAATTTGCTTAAGTTTGTATGAGTGTGTCCATGTCCCATGTGAAGGTGAGAACAGCTTTCAGGGATTGAATTTCCAGTTTCTAGTTTGATAGCAAGCATCTTTACTCACTGAGTTATCTTGAGACCCAGCCCCAGTCTGTAACTAGAGTAATGGATTAAAGCAGTATTGCCTTTTTTAAAAAAATATTTTTATTTGCATTGGTGTTTTCCTGTATGTATGTCTTTGTGGGGTTAAGACAGGTGGGAGCTCACATATAGGTCCTGGGAATTGAACCTGGATCCTTTGCAAGAGCAGCTAGTGCTCTTAACCACTGAGCCATCTCTCCAGC